TTTATCAGACCAGTCTGAATTTTGCTGATGTACGGTATGATCATATTGTGCATAGTGGCTGCTGAATTCATTCAAGTTTATTGTCGATTGCTTTTTTTTTTCTACTATTCTAAACACTAAAAAAACGTCAAGTGATTTACATGGAAGCTATTTTTAATAAGAACATAAGAAAATAAAAAGTATTAGTACGAAGTGATCGAAAAGTTTCTTGTTTTTTTCGCATAACTTCACTGTTGCTTTAACATGATCAACAAATATGCTTTGAAATGGCAGATAAATCCATGAAGTTTTTATTTAAATGAACAAAGTTTGAAACTAGCATTGAAACTAAGTAAGTATCAGAAATTTAATTATTTTTGTGTACGCAGAAATCTGTAGAAACGATATTTGTTTTAAATGCTTAAATTTCGACCTGATGTCATTCGGTTTTTTTTTTGTAATATGAAAAAGAAACAGTCCACAAAGATTTCTAGAAATAGGAAAATGATTAAATTTGTGTAGTTTGATCCATATTAGTGTCTTTCGAAGTTTGTTTGTATACGATGGATTCATTCGTCATATTAAAACGTCTTGTACATTTACCAATATGAGATTTCCTGAAAAGTCTAAACACAGTTTTTCAGTATTTACTCAAATATCATTGAATTTAGATTACATTGAACGATAGAAGAAATAATTTATAGAAAATGAGTTGTTTCCGAGTTCTCTACAATGTGTTGTGCTTGAGATAAAAAAAAAAAGTCAAACGGAAAACCTTCAAGTTCGTTTTCTTTGTACGATTTCTTATAAACAAATTTTTTGTGAATATTTCTATGATTTTATTTAATCTAACAAAATAATATTTGTTCTTTTTTTTTGATATACTGAAAAATTAAGATTAAGATTTGCAGATTAAGTTTTCGATTCTTGAGAGTCTAGATTTTCGTTTCTTTTATTTTTGTTGTACATAACTTTTTCTACGTGACTCATTATTTGTATTGTTTGTAGAGTTTAAGGCAATTAGAAATAAACTTGCTTGAATAAATTTAATAGCTTCGTTATAAAAAATATTGTTGCCGTCACATCAAATAATATATTATTAATCATATTGATTTTAAATCATTTTCTATTTAATATTTAAAACATTCTCAAGTATGACTCGTTCGTTGAAAAACATTTATGTCAAAACTAAATAGAGATGAAATAAAACGTCGAACACTTTGAGGTATCAAGTGTTTCTTTATACTAATATATGATAATGCTTTTACATATATGCAATAAATTAATACATAAAACACGTGTAGTTAATATTGATTATGAAGATCATGTTTAGATCTGTGATACCTCCAGCTCATAAGTTTCTAAGAATTACTTTCAAAAACAAAAGTTCTTCTGACGATTTCTTTGATATGAATTGATCTATTTTAATAACTTTCAAGATGAGATCTGTCGTCAATTTAATGACATCTCGATCAATATGGTTTGAAAATTTTTTTTGCCTTAAAATACAATTTCTTTTTCTTTTTTTTTTATTAAATGAAATTTGCATTGTCATTCTGCATCATTGAAATTTGAAAAGGTTTCTATATACTTTTTCTTTCTTTATGACACATGTATTTAAAAAGTTTACATTACAACAATTCAGCTTCTTGGTTTTGTTAGTTGATATAGTATAAAAGAATCATATAATTTGAATTATTTTTCAAATGTTATTAAAGCATCATTAGACATGATGCTATGATGAAGTGTTCATTTTCAATAATAGAAAATTTAAATTATTTTTCCTACAGAAAAAAAAAAATAACAAAGTTCTAGAACAGCTCATATTGTTGAGTATTAAGTAGTTTTTGTATTCTATCATAATTGATTTGTAATGTCTTTTCTTTTTTCCAGATAACATTATATCCTCTTAATTGATGCTAGTGTGTCAAGAAATACATTTGTATTGAATTCGAAATTGAAGGTAATTGCAAGAAAATCGTCTAAAAAATGAAATTGAATCGTTTGTTTTTCGTGAGTTTGGAGGAAACAGATCGAGTTAATGAAATATTATTAAGTAATGAATGTAATTGTAAATATTTTTTAGATCTACATTATCATACGTAATGTTTGAGTATCAAAAAATCTTTGTTTCTACAACTTCCTTAATACGCCATTTACAAAGCTTATATATTACTTAACTTTTGACATTAATATTAGCCTGATTTGCGTCAATATGTCATCATTGATTTGAGCATGATCCTATATGGTATAACAGTCAGTTTCTGACATAGATATATATGAATGAGTGACATATCAATCAATCATATATAGGATAGTTGTGCTACAATTGCTTACAATCAAATATATATGAGATATCCAATTGATCGCTGTGTTTGATGAGAGTCTTTCTTCAAGAGTATGTATAATACGAAAGAATATAACCTAAAAATACGCATTCTGTTAATATATTCTTGAATTTATTCATTTTTAGTATGATAGAAGAAGTTGAGTGACAATGTATCAATATTGAAATCGAAATAATTCTCTATTTTGTATAGGTTTCATTTTCAACAATTTAAAAAAAAAAAAGAGGAAATTTTATCTATTCAGTTATTTCTAGTTATCAGTAATGTGATATCATTCAAAATGTCCTGGATATATAACAAATGATATATATATGGGTCATTAGTTAGTTAATTGTCGACATTCATCAATCATAGTTTATGGACTGTGTATGCTTTTGTTATACAAGAAATGTTCTATTTATACAATTGGTAAACATAATTAATGATCTTTTTCGTTTTGTTTTTGAGAGTTAAAAGTGTTCCTAGATATAATTGATGTAAGATGAGATTTTTTCTTTAATTATTAATTTTAGATAAAATTCTAGAATTATATGATTTTATTACACAAAAAGTGTAATTTTATATTTAACATACACAAAAAAAAACACTTCACTTACATTAAAACAACGTTAAGACTTACATAGATATAGTATTTATTTCAGGTATGACTTATCGAACAGATAGATTTTTGTGTGTACTGATTAGTAATCGATTTCGATAGATATATTTATATACGTTTGATTGTAAGCATGATTGATAAACTATGTTATTAATCAATGAATTTGTAGAACACTCAAAAATATTGTTTTCTTTTTTCTTTTTCTTGTTTCTATATAGATTGAATATTGCTTCACAATCTGATTGATTACAAAAGAAAGACAAAAAAAAGAAGTAAATGAAGACATGTTGCATTTTTTTTATGACAGAAAGAGGAACAACTAGAAAATCATATAGACTATAAATTTTCCTTTTTACTTTGTGTATCTAAGTGCTGTTCTGTTTATGAGCACATATTGAGAATGAACATGAAATTTTCACATTTCTATTTGATGATTAATAATCATCATTCGATACACTTGTCATATTCTTACTATACACTATACTTGATTAAGAATGTTTCAAATGATGTCAAAATAGTCATTGTTAATGTACGACATTGAGCTTTAACAAAATTGGCACTACACAATGTTTCGCGTCAATCAACTATTAGAATCTTCCCTACTGCTGACACTCACCTTTCTCAAAACCTTGAGGAATCTTGTGGTAATCAATCATGATGGTTGTTTATTCGATAATCATAATAATAACGGTCTCATCAGCCTCATACCATCCTTCATTTTCAGATATGGGGTCTGAATTATATATAAAATCGGGTATTTATCTCTATACACTCTTATAAAATACCCCTTCTTTATATGTGTGATTGAGGTGAATTGGCATTTGGAAATGTTCACACGAAAGAAATTAACTATTCCATCAGTCATTTTTATTGTGTCACCTATTCACTTCCGTTCATATTCAGAGTATGCATTTAAATGAGCAAGTTAAAGGAAAAGGAAAATCAGCGCGGTTTCTTTTTGTAGATAACATTCATCGAATGAAAAAAAAAGAGTATGCGGAAAAAAAAACACTTCTGTTGTGGATCGTTGTCAATAATATGTTAAAGGGACTTCCTTGAGCATAGTTACTTTGCAAGATTTCCCCTATGTGTAAGTGTGAATAAACAAGGGAAAAAGGTCTATAAAAAAATAATACCGGAAAAAGGGCATGAGCATTTATCTTTATCTAGAAAGGCTTACTCGTTCGTATTCAACTAGTCATGAAAGGAAAAAAAGTTGACTGTAGGTAAGTAAGATAAGCGTTACTATATTCATTACCTGAGGTTTTTTAAAAGTCGTCTATTGAATTTATTGCAATCGTAGGTTGTAAATAGAACAGGAACAAAAAGAAATGAGTGAAAGAAAACTATATCATATTCATCCTATAAAATGTTTCGGTGAATGTCAGATGTAAGTAGTTAGAAATTAGTAATTGAATATGTTTATTATTGACTTTACACTATATAATCGATATAAATCGTAACAGATTTAAAACCATTACAAACTATTCTCATTACGGATAGATAGAAAAAAAATTAAAGCGAACATGAGAAAAGGAAAAAAAAGAAGGGCATGTTGTCGGCTATTTTGTCGTATTGTATTACTTACTAAGGCAGTAAGAAATACTAAGGAAACAAAATGGGTAAAACTGCAGTTCGATAAGAACACATTCGTATATGTATGTATGTATGTATTTATGCATGCATATATATAAATATACACCTATCTTCTTCGTTGATACTATCAAGAGTCTTTAAAATAACTTGCAGTTGACATAGATAACTATCTTCAATTATCATTCTGTGTAGAGCTTCGAAAATATTTTACTTATTACATTTCGTACAGAGACACGCACATGTAATCTATTTTTTCTTCTGTGATTAATGTCCACTTTCTACAGTATATGACAGTAATCGATTAGTAGTAAGAATATTTATCACGATGGATACATGTTGACATGTATATGTAAATATACATCTGTATGATCACATGTTTTTTTTTATTCTTATATTTCCTAATGCTTCGTGTTCTAGAGACAAAAGAGAATCTTTAATTAAAATACTCGTCTGTATTATAACTCAATTAAGCAATACAAATGGCTGATCAACATCAAAATCAGAAACGTAAAACTTTTATTCGTTCTATTATCAATTTTACACAAGGAATAGCAGTTACTCTATTTGTATTTGCTGTCACAATTGCTATGTATTTGACAGTTATATATCGAGCTCGTGTTGCTCCACTAATTAGTTATGCTATTGTTTTTGATGCTGGTAGTTCTCATACAGAAATGTTCGTTTATAATTGGCCTGCTGATAAGTCGGAAGGTTTAGGCACAACATCACCTGTCAGTCAATATTTCGTTTGTCCACTTGCAACAATAAATGCAAGTGATCCATATAAACCAAATGATTTTATTAAGCTTAAGGCTATATCTGACTTTGAGAATCATCTTGATTTATTAAATGATTATTTTGCACCTTGTTTGAATGAAGCAGTTTCAAAAATACCATCCAATCGTCATAAATTTTCACCAATTTTTCTTGGTGCAACAGCAGGTATGCGTTTAGCAAGCTTACGTAATACAACACGAGCAAATCAAGTATTTGAAACAATACGTGAAATTTTTTTAAATTACCCGTTTCAATTTGTTACTGCACGACAAGTAAGTTCATTCATCTTATTAATAAAATCAATAATCAACAAAATATCTATTTAATGATCAAATATATTAAAATCTTTAATACAAATATACTATATTGCATTTTATTTATAAACATAACAAAATCATTAGTCAATAGGGAATTCAAACATGTCATATTATTGATACGAAATATTATACTTTCAGTGTAAATGTTGATTATATATAGAGATTAAAAAAAAAAAGGTTTCCAGACAAAAGCAATCTCTTACATATGCATATATCTATCAACGAAGAATACTATTGAAAAGAAATTTAGTTTTCTTTCTGATTAAATAAGATGTATACATAGAAATGAAAGTCTATAAGTGGAATGCATATATTTAATTAGAATGGAGTTTTTAGAATATGTTCATGGTTTCTCTGTAATATCTGACGAGTGAAATCCTCTAAATGATTAATTACTTTTGAGTTGAGACTATATGTATCATGTAGATTCTAATGAACTATAAATATCCTCAAAAGTGTTCGAGCTCTTATCTGATTGCTGCGAAGATATTGCATTTTTACGGTATTNGATCAAATATATTAAAATCTTTAATACAAATATACTATATTGCATTTTATTTATAAACATAACAAAATGATTAGTCAATAGGGAATTCCAACATGCCATATTATTGATACGAAATATTATTCTTTCAGTGTAAATGTTGATTATATATAGAGATTCAAAAAAAAAAGGTTCCAGACAAAAGCAATCTCTTACATATGGATATATCTATCAACGAAGAATACTATTGAAAAGAAATTTAGTTTTCTTTCTGATTAAATAAGATGTATATATAGAAATGAAAGTCTATAAGTGGAATGCATATACTTAATTAGAATGGAGTTTTAAGAATATGTTCATGGTTTCTCTTTAATATCTGACGAGTGAAATCCTCTAAATGATTAATTACTTTTGAGTTGAGACTATATGTATCATGTAGATTCTAATGAACTATAAATATCCTCAAAAGTGTTCGAGCTCTTATCTGATTGCTGCGAAGATATTGCATTTTTACGGTATTTTGGAACTGATAAGAAGAATACCAGAAAAACTGACTATAAGAATTTTGAATTGAAATTCGGCAAAGAGACACAGTTTAATGAAAATGATTTATAATAAAAGATTCAGATCGTTTTATTTTTGTCTATGTTGAAATAAGAACATTGAAATCTGTCGATGTGTATGAATGATGTAAAATGCACACATTTAATATAGCCTTATCTTAGGATAGGAACAACGAAAAGATCTGAAACTGTCACAAAAAGATATTTTCATGAATGCCTCTTTCGGTTTGAAGTTTCAAGCAGAAATTCGAAAATTAGTTTTTTGTTTTCAATTTTCTAGAGCTACCACGGCAATTATTTAAAAAGTATCATAAAAATGCGATTTCTTCACTGCAATCAATTAAGAGTTCAAACTCTTCTCAAAATATTTCATAGTTCATTAAAATCTATATGATACATATAGTTCCGGCACAATAGCGATTAATTAGTCACGGAACTTAACTTGTTAGCAAAACAATAAACAAATGAGTTCAAATTCAATGACGTAGTATATGCATATGTTGCCTACTTATTGATGAATGAATTTTTTACAAGTACATAAAAATAGTTGAGCTATGAATGGTAGAATGAAGTTGGTTGATTGCATTCTAAATAAGTGTAATACCCGCAATAAAAACGCTAATGTAAAAGTTGCACTAAATTAGAACGGATCAGTGTTCATGTATAGAAAAGCACTCTTCTATATATTTACGTCGATCCGTCCTAATCTGGTGCAACTTTTGTATTAATGTTCTTATTGCGGATATTTCACTTATTTAGAATACAATCAACCGACTTCATTCTACCGCTCATAACTCGACTATTTTTATGCATGTTTAAAAAATTCTTTCATCATTAAGTATACAAGTCATGAATCCAATCAGTCATTAAATTTAAGCTCATGTGTTTACTGTTCCGTTAAGATAATAAAGAAGAAATATGAATGTATCAAGAACACTCACTCTACTAGAAAAATTCATTGTTCAAGGCAATGAGTATTAATTTTGATTAACACAGGTACGAACATTGACTGGTATGGAAGAAGCTATTGATGGTTGGATAACTACTAATATCCTATTAGAAAAATTTAAACACCGTCATGAAAAACAGAAACAATTAGGGCAAACGACTGCACCAGAACTTGATCCATATATGGTCGGTGTACTTGATTTAGGTGGAGCTTCAACCCAAGTAACATTTACTTGTGAGTTTTTCGAATAATCTCTATTAGAAAAAAAATAAACGAACAAATCTATGTCTTGCTTTTCTAGATAAGCGTAATATTAGTGATGAACCAGTTCCAGAGGAATATACAACAAATATTACTTTATTCGATACAGTTTATAATCCATATGCTCATAGCTATTTATGTTGGGGTAAAAATGAAGCATCTAAACGACATCGAGCTCGTCTTCTTAATGCTGTATTAAATGTTAATTCCAAATATTTACCAACATCAACATCCTTTCCTATACGTGATCCATGTTTAGTTCGTGGCATAACTGATTCAGTAACACCAGCAAGTCTCTTTCGTTCACCTTGTACAGCTAATGAAAAACGACAATTTAATAATAATCCTAATATAACACTTTCATTTATTGGTGCGGGAAATCCTGATGAATGTCGTCAACGTCTTATAAGTTTATTTGATACTAAACGTAATGATAAAACAGTAAATTGCTCATTTAAACAAGAATATTGTACATTTGATTATGCATTTCAACCAAAATTACCAGAAACAATTCGTTTTATTGGTCTTTCTGGTTATTATTATGTATTTGATAATTTAGCTTTTGGTAATAATATTTATATATTTATAAAAACAATTCCAAATATATTTTCTTGTAGGTATGTCAAAACCGCCTGCATCAAAAAGTGAACGATATAAAATAAAAGATTTTTCTGACGAAGAAATAAAAAGACGTCTTTATAATGTTGTAAGTATAATATCAATTATAAACGATAATCAATTAGATAGGAACAAAAAAAAAAAACAACAACTAGTATTAAATGAATAATTTTATTCTAGTGTTTAACAGATTACGAAACACTTTATAAACAAGAAGCTATGACTCCAGCTAATGTACAGCATAAACGAGCTTTATGTTTTGATGCTTGGTATGTGTGGCTTTTATTAACATATGGTATTGGTTTTACAGAAGATGGTTTAAAACGTGTAAGTTTTGCAAAATCATTTCCAACAGGAAAAGTTGGTTGGACACTTGGCTATATGATTAATCAAACAAATTATATTCCGGCTGAATATCTTGAAAAACGAATAAAAAAAGGTGTATTTATTGGTTGGATAACAATATCGTTAATAGTTGCTTTAATCACACTTATTTTTCTTATTCTTACATGTCGAACATATGCACGTCATTTATATCAGAAACAAACAAGTCATATAGCAACAGAAAATAAAGATGGTTATTCTCGTCCACATGAACAATCGGTGGCTTAAAATGGAAAAGAAAAAAAAAAGTCCGGTGTTGCTTTTTTTGTTTAATGTATGCATGTTAAAAAAATAGAGTCATCTTTTCATCAAAATATTATCGAGTTCCATCTCATTATACATATTAGAGTTGAAGAAGGAAACTTTATAGAGAATTATATTTGTCTTGTATGCACAGATATATATTTATGTTAATGTTTATACTCAGATTCACATTTAATCTTAGACACACTTTCGATTAAATAAATCCGAGAATGAATGCTAACATAGATATAAATATATGTTTTGTATTTGTTTATTAGTTATAGTATATATGTTGTCAAGTGTTTGTTTTTTGTGTTTTACTTTGCTTTAATTGATATTTAAAAAAAAAAACAGTGTCTTATTCTTCTTATATTGGTTTATTGTGTATTTCCTAATTGAAGTGAACGTCGTGCCATAGCTAAAGCACCATCATAAGTTGCATTTCCACCAATAAAACCAGATGCATGTACAAATATACATCCTGGTATATCAGATTTAGTACTTAATTCATCATCACGTAAACCTTGCCATTGTTTAGGTAATGATAAACGATTTTCAAATGATTTTTTATTTAATGGAACAGCTTGTAAACGCCAAGTTTTATTTGCATCAGGATAAAGAACATATTTAATTGTAACACCAAGAATATCTTTTTGTTCTTGTTCAATATCAAATAAATGATCACGCCATGGAAATGTACTATTTAAAACAAGTATTGAACCGGATGGATCAATCTAAACATATGAATAAAAAATAATTGTTTTTTTTTTAATTTATAAAATCTTACATCAAAACGTTGAGCAATAGCTTTTTCAAGTAATGCTCTTGCTGGCCACCATTGATGAACATAATGATAAAATCGATCTAGAAATTCTTTTCCGATCATTTCCATAGCTTGTTTGAATCCAATCTTTTTATCAATATGAATATTAATATAAGAGGTGTTTCACATAACTTACTTCTTCTTTTTCTGCAGGATTTGGATCATTCCAAGCTGGATTGAAATAACCAACACGTGTACTAAGATTTGTATGAATTTTGTATCTAAATGATGAAATAAAAACAAAAAATGTTCTTCGTAATAAAAGAATTCATTGTGTAAAAACAAATATTTACTTCATATTTTCTCCAATATCAATTCCATTATCAATAGCATCAATTTCTTCAACAAATGTTTCATATAATTTATTAAATAAAATTTCAGTTAAATGATCTTTAATATTATCATCAATGGTTTCTTTTTTTAATAATTCTTTTATGATTTCTCGTCCATAATGAACATAAATTAAACCAGCACTTGACAGTTTTATTATCCACGGCTTATCTGGTTGTAAAGAATGAAATGTTTCAGTAAATGATCTGTATACAGATAAGCGAATTAATAAGAATAAATTGTGTAGATAAAAGAAAAAAACCCATACTTTTGATGATGATCAAATCGTCGTTGTTCAGCATTGAATATACCACCAACATCCACAACAGTATCACATTCGGCTAATATTTTTGGATCACGAGTTCTTTAAAAAGAAAATTCTCATTAAAACTCGACAAATAAGATCGTTCAGAAAAAAATGAATTTTCATTTTTTCTTTCTCATTACAACAGAGTCTTTATTAATTCTTCTCACACATGACAAGTGAAGTACATGATCGAATAGATATTTATTGAATAGTTTGTCAAAGAATATAATAAATATACGCTTGAAACGCATTCTTCGATTAGAACTTGTTCGAAATCTTAAATAACCACTATCCGTTTCAAAATAGAAGACACCTTACAATTTTTTGAATAACTTTTGATAGGACCAAGATAGAGACCTGCGGTTTTCACCATTTGAAAGAGAAATCTTGGGGCTATAAATATATGGCAAATTCTATTGGTCAGCAATAGACCAATCAGGTGCGTTCTTAGTGGACATTTTCAAAACACTATTTTGAAAATATTTCCCGTTCAATTTCAACTTGTAATTAAACCATTCGATAGAGCAAATTTTTTTTTTTCGTTCTACGCAAAGCCGAGAATTTTAGCTTGTTCCCTTCATGAGTTATAAGGGTTTTCCTGAGACCCCAGATTTCAGCCACTTGACCTTGAATCACCCCGAAAGTGGTCAAAACAGGGGTCATTCACCACGGTGAGTCGAGTGGTGATGTTTGTTTTCAGTTTCAAAGCGATATTGAAGTACTATATCAAAGTTCTCGAAATATCGACTCTGCACACTATAAAGCGGCAAAATTTGAAATTTCAAAAACCTTGATATAGTACTTCAATATCGCTTTGAAACGGAAAACAAACATCACCACTCGACTCATCGTGATGAATGACCCCTGTCTTGACCACTTTCGGGGTGATTCAAGGTCAAGTGGCCGAAATCGGCGGTCTCAGGAAAACCATTATAACTCATGAAGGGAACAAGCTAAAATTCTCGGCTTTGCGTAGATCGAAAGAGAAAAATTTTCTCTATCGAATGGTATAATTACAAGTTAAAGTTGAACGGGAAATATTTTCAAAATAGCGTTTTGAAAATGGCCACCAAGAACGCACCTGATTGGTCTATTTCTCACCGATAGAATTTGCCATATATTTATAGCCCCAAGATTTCTCTTTCATATGGTGAAAACCGCCGGTCTCTATCTTGTTCCTATCAAAAGTTATTCAAAAAACTGTAAGGTGTCTTCTATTTTGAAACGGATAGTAGTACTGTCATATAGTAATTCATATAAAATAGATATTTACAAAAGATTTCATATCTAACGAAAGAACTTCTACAACTAATAAAAAAAGCTTTTAAATCAAAACTTGTATCATTAGAATGAGTCTATTAATAGTAAGCAAAACTTTTAATGATACATTCTTTTGCTGGTTTCTATTCAAGTTATAATCAATATATCAAATGTATGACGTAGTTGTAGACAATGTCATAATTTCGATCTGAACGGTTGCTTGTAAAGAAGTTTTAAGACTTCTATTATATACTGAAAGTTTTGATTTGAATGAATATTTTCTATTAAAAATAATATCTTTGAAAGAAAATCTGAAATTTCTCGATGTTCTATAAAATATGCGTATTGATTAACGAAAGAGGAGAGTTTTTATATCCATTTGGTTGTTACCTGCTTCAAGGAAAAGATAAACCTCTAGAGATTCTCTTGTATTTCTTATTCCGCAACATGAGTGCAATCGGTCTGTTTCGATATTAATCTTAGCAAAATTTTGTTCATATAGAGCTAGAAAAACAATTTTCTATCCCGATCCATGAATTCAAAAATCTTTGTTGCAATACTCTATGACTCATTTTATAAGAATAATGTCTTCCTTCAGAGATGCTAAAGAATTGGACATAAATAGTGTTTATTGTTTTCATCACTACTTGTCCATATCAATTCATTTAATTACAATAAAGAACAATTTCTTTTTCGAAGTGTGCTAATGATTTAAACTAACCTGACAATTTCCGCATTGGCATAACGAGGTAAAGTTTTCAACAGAAAACAAGCAAATATTTCGTCACAATGAAAATGTCCATTGTGTGTACCAATTTTGATTGTATTAGTATTTGACATTGTTCGTCGAAAACCGTGCAAATGTCTGATTATTGATATCATCAAAAGTAATAGAAATAAAATAGATTATTAAACTTTTTGTTTTCTTGTTTAAATTTAGAATGATCCAGAAAGAAACTTAATTATTCATAAAAAGTCTGATGAGGGAAGTTTCCCAACTGATTAATCACTGTTGAGTCGAAAGAATGTGCTTCATGCAGACCCTAATGAGTTATGGATACACTGAGAAGACTTTGGACCTTTAGCCTATTGCTATCGTGATATTGCATTTTTACAGGTTTTGTTTGTAGTTAATATCGTAATCTCCCTCAGGAACACTGGGAAAAATTCATTTTTGAAGTTCAACTTGAAAATTTTCCATCGAAACTGAGCTCATCAAAAATAGTTTATTGAGAACATTTCAGATATTTTTCGTTGTTTCTTCTCTAAAATACAGCTATGATAAGAGATTGGCTTTTACACTGTTCATATACACCAGCAGATTTTATGTTCTTATTTTAGGAAAGAAGTACAGAAATACCCGGAAAACTTTCACAATAAACTAAGAATTCAAACTCTCTTCAGAATATTTATAGCTCATTGGTATCAACATGGTGCATATAGTTTGCTTCCCAAAGCGATTAATCAGTTGGAGGACTTTTTTCATGATCATAAGACAAAACACAAACGGTAATACTCTTTATGTTCCTACACGTTCTATTTATTTATTTACTTCGTTATCTGTATTTTTTTTTATTGTCGTTGCTTTTCACCCGTCTGACACAGTAAAGAAGCAGAAGAAGAAGATGAGATATAAGGAAAAAAGGCAGAAAAATGAATAACAAAGACAAAGATGAACAACAACAATACATAAAGAACTGCTGAGCGGCTAAAGACCAATGGAAATGAAAGAAAGAAAAGTCTATCACGAACACAAATGAACACACAAAAAAAACTTTGTTTCTTTTCTTCTATCATCACAATATACCTAACCAATAATGAAATAATATAACGTATGTTTTAGAATGATTACACACGCATCAAAAATAAAAGATATAAACATAACCCTTTTTTTTATTGATTTTAATAGTGTTTAATTCTGCTCATTATTGAATATTGTATAATCGTCACTAACAAGATTAACCGCATCACGAAGTGATTCCATTGTTTCCTTTGAAGAAAAGAAAAAATTTTTATTTTCTATCTAATTATATAAAGATTTATAAAGGGACCAAATAATAATCAAATAGTAAAAAAAGTACACTAGGAAATGATATTTTCCAATGATTATTTACATATATAGCTGCTTCCCTTCATCTGCGCATACCTGAATAGCTAGAGTGAATGACGTGGCAGAATTGTCGACAGATGATGTCTCTATGCGGATGACATTACCGCATGAAGACTATACTAAGGAGAAGCAAAAAAGTCAGTGAAATCGAACAAAAAAAAATATAAAACAATAATAATATAGTTCATGCTATCAGTAGTTTTAAATTATACAAAAAGAAAAATGATTTTAATTGAATTTTGAATGATGAAAAAGATGGCAATGTATTTTTTTTCCCAACTATTTATTTGCGATGTAAAAGTCTTTAAAACAAAAATATTTTCATTTGTGTAATTTATTCTGTCGTTTGTTTTCGAAAGATTCGTTATAGAGGATATCGAATAAGTTTTGTTTTAAACTTTGCATACAGAGAAAGTTGCAGAAACTATTCTGATTAGACCTTGTAATATGATCTTCTTCATAGAATATTGTGTAACGTTTGTGACATATTAATTCTCATAAATAATTAAGTTTACTTGTACAAAGTTCACAAGTCAGGAACTAACAAATCATGACTTTATATCTCTGTAGTGTTCGAAAACGTTAAGGGTAGAATTAATAGTTTTTTGAGATTCTGACAAACATGATCTTCTCTCAGTATTTTATTCAATATGAAGGTTAGAATGATGAGCCTTTCTTTTCTCTCATAATTATACATCTTTTTATGATGACAAAATTCTAAATTAATCTTTCAAAATGAAGAACTTAGCTAAAATACTCTTCTAGCTAAATTTGCAATATATGCATCAGATAGGATATAAATTAAAAATAAATAAAATAGCTTATCAGTGCAGTCTCTTTTGGGCTGAAATATGACACTCACATATGTTCTTGTATCTCATTGCCGTATTTCGATATTCTTAATTTAATATAATTACTATTCTAATCATTGATTTAACAAGCAAATAAACCTGTTGAACATATTCATCAAATCTGCAGCAGATCTCAATACACTATTATATAATTTCATGAGCTCAGAAACACAGTTATTGATTATTTTGCAAAGTTCTAACTTGATCAGTTCACAATTTTTATGTTGATCATATGATGATTATCCATTATCCTTGATATTTTGAATATAAATTTTTATTTGTACAAAAACCAGAAACTTCTCTATTTAGAACATTCACAAACTTATTCCAATCACTCAAATTTCGACAAAGGCTTTGGAATTTTCCAAAATAATCTAAGTCCATTCAATGTCCTTTTCCGTTGCTAATCAACTCTAGGAAAGGATTCTGACATTTATTATCTCGGCTTCTCCACTGTTGTTGTGAGAGGAAAGAGGCAGTCGCAAAACATCCACTTTAACATGATAGATTACTTTTTTTTTCAAAGACTTTTGCATCGCTTAAGATCAAAAAAATGAATTTTTCTCTCGAAGAAATTTGCTATAGTTTAACTGTCTTTCTGTGAAACAAACAATATCGTACCCTATCGATATCTTCTAATAAATCTTTAGCAGACGCCGCATCATTCGTTATAAATGTTGTTGTTATTATTGATTTTGTTGCAACTGTTTCAACATATGTTGTTGGTATGTCAGATATGACTGTTGTTGGTTCCGAAAGTGACAAGTCTACAAGAAAAATTTAGGATTATATTGTAAGACAAATTAAAAAACTATATACTATTTGTTTTTGTTTCTGATTTTTTATCTTCACTATCATCATCACTAACTAATACAATATCATCATCATCATTATCATTATCAGCATCTTTTTTTGATAATACTTGACCATTACCAACTGTTGGTTTATTAATATTATTTTTATAATCACCATTTAATTGTGTAGGATGATAGATTTGATTATTAGTATTATTAATATTATGTGAAAAATCTCCTGATATTGGATGTAAAGATGAATAATGACGATCAAAATGATTGTGACGACGAAACTTTTTATGAAGATTATCATTCATTGTTTGAAGATATAAATCCGATTGTGCACCATCCATACCAAGTAGATCAACATTTGATTGATGAACACCTAAACATAAATTAAATATGATATTTGTAAAATTTAAAATAAAATTTGATATTAAACAGGAACTAGAGAAAAACTATTTGCAAAACGTGATTATTAATAAGTTAATATAATAAAATAAAATATTTATTATGAAGAAAATGATACCTAAACGTTGATTGGTTTTTTTAATACCATTTGTATGTATTAAACGTTCGTCATTATCATCAGAACTAATATCTGATCTACCTTCATCATCATCATCATCATCATCATCTTCATCATCAACTTCATCACTTTCATCCATTTCTTCACTTTCTTCACCAACTTCTTCATCATAATCATCCATGTGTTCATTCTCGTGTACTTCGTCATCACTTTCATCAGCAAAAATTTCTAAAATTATTGACAGTAAAAAAAAAAAACATAATAGGTAAGATTGAAAATATAATTATTTTTACGTTCAGCTCCATCTTCTTCTTCATCATCGTCAATTTCAACTGGTCGTGTATCGACTAATTTTGGTCGTTTTCGTTGTTGTTCAGATACTTGATTATATTCTTCTTTATGATGTTCTTTTACGAAAAATAAAAATGAAAATAATTTCAAATTGTTTTCTTTTTTTCTTTTTTTTATTGTCAAATTTACCTTTAACAGGTGAAACAAATGTTTCGAGATTTGTTGGCTGTGATTGAGGTAAAGCATCAAGAGTTGGATATGTCATTGAAGTTGGTGGTTGTAAAAATACATTTGTTGCTGTCTCCATAGGAGTTTGATGAACTAATGGTTTTGAAATAGATTGAGAATTAATTAAAAGTGGTTGTTCTGTATTCATCATTGATATTGATGATGTTTCGACATTACTCATCATTGGCATTGATGGAGGTAAAAATACATTACGAAGTTCATTTGTTGTTGTTGAATAATTAATATTATTAGGAATAACTTTTCGTGGTTTATCAACATTTAAAAATGACCATGGTTGATATAAATGACTTGTTGAATCGTGTACTTGTTGCCATACAAGTTTTAATTTACGTACAGCCATTTTAACCTGAAGTAAAGAAGTTTTATGCGATTGAAAGATTTAGAGTATGATAGACATTATTGCACTTTCCTCGAGATATTCAATCTTCTTATAATAAACCATTGCTATTTAGATATTGAAATATTTAAAAAAGGCATATTCGTTTTCATTGAAATCTGCCGAACTATTTAATGACTCTCAAATCTCGCTATAAACAAAACATTAGATTGAATCTCTTCATTTTTCATTTTTCTGGTAATTTCTGACTACACAATAAAAATTTTAGTGAAACACGCATAATTCTTCGTCAATAGACTATGAGCTCGAACTTTTTTACCTCGATATACTCTATCGAATGAAGTAGAACACTTAAGGGGGCACCCCCCCTCAGAATCGACTTGCCACTTTGGACCATAGTTTTGGGCTGAAACTTATAGTGATGGTTGGCCCTGATGAGAAACATTTATGATAAAAATTTCAGCCTTGTATTCCTTACCAAACAAGAGTTACGATGTATTTTCTGGCCTCCACGCGAATCGAAATAACTCCATGACCCTATTAGATATCGAGGTCAGGATAGTTTTAAATTGAAGCTAGCCTCTATGCGCAACTTTTCATCGGACGGATTTTTGAAATTTGACTCTATTGATTTTTTATAAGCATTTTAATGTGCACGTCTAAAAAATGGCGCCAAAAAAAGCCGATAAATTGAGCTTTCCTAAGCCTAAGAACTTTATATCAAAAATCCGTCCGATGAAAAGTTAGTCCTAACTGAGACCTTTAAAACAAAAAAAAAATATCTGGGAATGCCTGAGCCGAGCCTAAGTTATTTCAATTTCACTGTCAGAAAACTATGTTTCGAGAAAAACACAAAATAAGTTATAGATATCGATTTTTTCATGAAAGACTTGACAACTGATTTTAAAACGCAATATTTTCAACATGTTTCATTAGATCTTGTTACAATTGGTTACAAATGAAGTAAGGTAGCGCCATCTACCACGTTTATGCGGTATTGCTCTCTTAGGGTGGGTGGGTGTCGGTGTGGGTGTGGGTGTCGGTGTGGGTGTCGGTGTCGGTGTGCGTGTGAGTGTCGGTGTGGGTGGGTGTGGGTACATCATGTGTAGCTATCTACACCCACACACCAACACCCACCCACACACCACACCCACACCCACACCCTGCGTTTCCGAACAAAATACGCTAAGTATATCTGTTATAGTGGTCGGAAATGTTTTAGAAATACGAACTTAAGCACCGTATGACGCATCAACCTCACATCAATGGTGTTTGATTCGAATCAGTCGCATATAAATTGATGAACAGCGAAAAACCAAAAAATTTTACGAAATTTGAAAAATTATTGAAAAACGTGATTATGGTGGATAATGTTTCTCCTGTAACTCCCTTAAAACTTAAGCCTTTTTCAAAAACCTATATATATTCTGAAAGAGGAGAATACGGCGAATCTTTCTATGAAAAAAACTCGATTTCCGATTTTTTTCGAAAAATCGGGTTTTCTGAGGGGGGGTGCCCCCTTAAAGCACTTCTCTCGTTTCTAGAGCTTTTTTCTTGTGTTGTCAAAAGAATAGTTGTATTAATTTTCTTCGGATAAACAAACAGTGTTCGATGCTGAATATTAAAAATTTGAGTAAGTAGGATAGCATCTAAAACTTGAACATAGAACTAAATACATCATTTGTAATTTTGCTTGATTCAAGATATATTTCGACCATTTAAAATTCGAAAGTACATCGAGTATATGAATTCAGAAAATTTTTAGAGAACTCAGTTGATGAAAGAAAAAAAACGTCTCTTCATTTTTTTGATGAATCAAAACAAAAACAACTCTTTATTCTTACTTTAACAGATGGATCTAATAAGGCAGCATTATCAATTAAATCTTTACTAATAGCAATAATTGTTGAACAATCAGCTCTTTCATTAATTAATAAACATTCAAGAATATTATATAAACCAACACGACATATTTCATCATCATATGGTTTATTAATACTATTATTTATTGATTGACAAATCATAAGTGTTTGTATAAAATGATTTTGAATAAGCTAAAAAGAAAACCAAAGAAGTATAATTCATTTTTATAATAAAATATTTAATTTCATCTTACATTATATTGATCTTTCGGCATATGATCCGAATAAATATTGAGCAGTTGTTGAGAACCTTATAAATAAAAAATAAAGAAATAAACATCATAGTAAAAAATAATATTTTTTTTTTTATTAAAAAAACTTAAACATACAATTAATCACAATTCGAGATAAATTATGATCTGGTCTTGATAAATATGCAATTGGTATTTTCGATCGTGTACGTAATGTTGTATCATTTATAATCCAACGAATTAATTTTTGTAATACATCAACATCAATTCGTACTTGTCGATGAAATAATGCGAATAAATTTGTTAATAATTGATAAATATTTATTGATAATGTTCTAAAAACAAAATCTTAACAAATAATGAAAACAAACAAGGAAGAATATATTTACAAGTATTCAGCTTGTGGACGTACAATATCAAGTAATGAAATAAATAATGTAAATATTGATCGAATATTAAACATAAATGATGATGGATTACTAAAGAATATTAATAATTATAGAACATGAAGAAAAAGAAGTTGAAAACATACAAAGTAACAAGTGTATCACATAATTGAACGCAAGAACCAAGTAATGTTGGTAAATGTTGTTTACGATGAAGTGTGTTCTAAATAAAATGTTTGTTTTAGAAGAAAAATTATGATTTAATCTTGATAAATCGATACTAGTATCGTACATTTAATAATCATAATAAACTCAACTTTATTCTTGAATTAAAAATTTTTCTCAGATTTTTATTTTATTTTTTTATTTAAAAATTTAGAGAATCAAGTCAACGTTGACATCAATTAAAATGTTTCTTTTTGTCAAATATATATATTCAAGCTCCTAGAAAAAAAAAAAATAACGCATTTCTTTCTCTAATTTGATCACATTAGAAATTCTATATTAGGTTTTTTCAAAGCATAGTGACACTCAAAATTGGTCATAGAATTAACTAGGAATATACAGTTTCAATTTACTGGCCAGTGAGTCAGCGTAATTAGTGCACATTGGCACCAGTATTCACTAAAGCATTGAAACACATCGCTACTAAAAGGCCATATTTTGATAGAGCTGATGTTTCAATCTTGCAGCGAACGCATATGTTGATGACTCATTGTCAGTATTTACATCAATATTGTGCGTATCTACAACCTAACCAATCATTTTGTTTTTCTAATATCTCAAGATGGTTTCGAAAGATTAAGTTGCGGTTTTCGTCAAAATGTAGTCTTGTTTTCATAGTCTATCTGCCAAAAATATTAACTCTGTGTGTCAACACAAAATTGTAAGAACATAGTACGATAGGAAATCTCTCGTTTTATCCTTTTGACTAAAAAACAAGTGAAACTTTGTTAAATGATTGTTCGAATATCGTCATGTTGAAAAAAAAATGAAATGCACAGTAAAATATTCAAACGTTTTGTGTATCGTATACGATCAAATATCAGCATCACTGTAGACTTGCTTGAAAAACTAAATCTATTCGCTATATCTATAAGTAAGTCATTTATAACTAAATAATACGGTTTGATGATAAGAATGAAATTAAAATTTCGTGTCTTTTGTTTGGAATATATTTTTGATGAGATCCATAGATCATATCACACTTAATCGTATGTCTATCAACATAAGACTAGTAGAATTTTCTTGCAGAGAAATAACCTACACTTATATTATTTTGATTTATAACTATTCTTAGTTATTTGTGACTTCGAAAATTTAGCTCTTTTGTTTATACTATTCATTTGACAAAAAAAAAACTTCTTACAAATTGTTGGCTATTAATGGATATGACTTTTGATATTAATTTAAATGTTCGTTCACATGACACTGTTACTGGTGAATCCAATTGCACACTAAATATAGATACATATAAATTAATAAGTTTTGTCAAATTAAACAATTAAAATTCTTACTAAAAAAGATATCTTAATATATTACAACAATTAGAAAAAATAGCCGCATAATCAGTTGATGAAATAACATCACCAATTTCAGCTGTTAATGTTGTTTCAATATCAGTTATATCCGAACAAAGATAATCTAATAGAAAAGAATAAATTTAAATTAATAAAATATATTCGACTTTTATTTTTCATTACCATTTATTCCTGAATAAAGTTGATCAATAAGAAGAGAAGCTATTTTAAGATATCGATCGTATTCATTTTTCCATGATTTAGCTTGTTTTGAAGTTGATGGTATTCCAAGTACAGATAAATGAGCAATACATTTGCAACAAATCTATTCAATAAAACAATTTCTTTTTTGTGTTTAAATCAAATATTTTCTACCTCGCTTGGACCAGACATTTTTTTATAGATAATACGAGGTAATAATGGACGAAATTTATTCTTGAAAACAAAAAAAAGAAAATAAAAAAATTGTTATTTCATATATTCAATAAATTATATTATTACATACAATGAGAAATGGTGAAAATTTTTTTGGATAATGCAACATACATTCATAAAGACATGTTGCTGAGAGTAATGGTGCCTAAAACAAAAATTAACTACCATTTTTCTTATATATTTTTCAAGGTTTTGAGAGATTTTTCATAAGATCTGAGTATTCAAAAGAATATGTCTGGTGAACAAAAATTAGTTTATTCTTTCTTAATCCATTGCCAAAAAATCATTTGTGTGATAGAATGGGAATATCTTAAGTCATAATAGAAACATCCAGTCTTTAAAAAAAGTTTTCTTTTTCCATGAAGCATTTAGAGTGTTCTATAATTCTAGCAAGGTCTTAATCTTAAAACCTAAAATGGAAATGGCTATATGATATCGGTTATCTAATATTGCAGATTTAATTATGTAATTAGCATTTTAGAAAAAGATTCGATAAAAAACGATGTTTATCATATTGATAAACATCAAGAAAAATATATTGAATACTTTTGTGTGTTATCGTAAAATTAAAAATGTGTGATAATATCTTTGGTATAATACTTGACATTAACATTTTTAGACTGTCAAGTGACATGAAAAAAAAACAAAATCATTCCTTTTTTTTAAGACAATTTTTATACCTATATTGAAAGCCTCCAGTATTGCCCTCAGAATAACTTTACAAATTTAAAGATACTCTATCGTCAAAAACGAAAATCTGACCAATCATAATAACTCTTATTATTATATAATAAAAATATGAATATACACTATCCAATAATATCTTTCTACTAACTGTTGTAAAATGGTCAGCAGCAATAGTAATAATTTCTGAAATATAATCTTTTGATAAAAGTAATTCATCAATAATAGGACTTCTTTGAGATGCTTTAAGATATGTTAATAAACCACTTAAACCAATTTGTAGCATTGTTCTTGATGTTGCATTCTAGTTCGATGAAACAAAAAAATGTTGTTTTTTTATTAATGAATCGAAAAAGATTTAAAATAAAAATCTTTACAACAAGACATGAATAAAGAGCTTTAAGCCGAATTTCAGCTTCCATCTCCAATCGATAATCATCTGGATCATCTTCAAAAAATTGATGAAGTTCCACAAGTGTATTTCCTGTTGACCTAATAGTGCATAAAAGAAAATGATTAATAAAAATTTTTTTAAAAGATACAAACATTTTATTCCTTTCACTGTTCGTTAATCAGCACCGGAAAAGAGCTGAGTATATTAACATAGACAAAATGGAATGAACTAATAAAATATTACACAGTTAGTTAGAACTTAGTGACTCATCGAATCAATAACGAGAAATTCACTCGTGGGGGAGCCACAAGTCATGACAATTTTTCGAAGATTTTTATTTTTATTATTCGAAACTATAGAGAGAAATAGACATTGTAGTGGAATATTTTTCTTGTCCAAGTCATTTTTCTGGGATCATCGTTGATGGATGACGATAGAGATGCAATAATGGCTGTTTTGAACCAATAGAAGTTTTTCTATAAAAGTGGTTTACGTTCCTGGCGTTTTGATAAGAGACAATTGATATGTTCCACGAAAAAAATAACTTTTCATAAAAGTACTGTATACTATGACCGCGTACATGTCATATTGAACAAACCATATCAAGAGAGATTGAAAAATCGACTTTTTTTGCGCCAGACGGATCGAGCTGAAATTTTAGGATATGAATTATGACTAATAATTACACATCTTGTGAAAGTTTCATCTTCATACATAT